GTAAAACGGTTGGTATTGCAGATAGGCGTGATCGAACCACTGCCTCGCCCACAAAACGCCATTAATCAAAAACAAATAAATTGCCATAACTAAGCTCCGCAATAAGATACAAGACTGTTACTTGGTACACAAGATCACATTAGAGAGGGGCATCTGCAGTTTAAATTTTTTTTTAAAGTGGGCGTGGTCCGGCCTCTAATAGGTTTAATGTGCATATCTCCTAAACTGCTAATGCTATAATAACAAAATTCACTGGAAGCAAATGTTTTTAGCACTTCTATTGACGGTGTGAAAATAGTTGAAAGCGGGTGGCAACTCCGCCCACTCCCCATATAACGGTACTGTTAAAAACTACTAAAAAAGCTATAAATCAAGCACTAAACACGCCAGAGATATTAAATTTTATCTCTGGGATGGTATGAGATGACTTTATAACCGCGTTCAAAATTAGTCAGTGGGCGTGGCACAGCCCACTTTTAGGTGAAAACCCATATCCTGAGATCTGCTTAACCAATTTCAACAAAATTTGGTACATAAGGTTATTTTCATATTTTTATATTATAGTGCGAAAATGGGCGAAATCGAACTACAACCACGCCTATTTCCCCTATAACACCATTTTCAATTCCATCTGATTCTTTCACTTTCCACTATACATATCAAGCAACAATGATTATATCGGGGTAAAACTTTGCGTGAATAATACGTTTAAAGTATGCCACCTTGTGACCAAAAATTGTCTAAATCAAACCAAAACTGTTCAAGCCCCTAAGTACTAAATATATGGACCCCAGTGCCTAAAGTTGACCTTCTACCGAAAATATCAGTCAATCCACAGAGAAATCTCAAATGAGTATACCATTTGACTTTGCGAGAGTATTAAATGTTCGGTTACATCCGAACTTAGGTCCTCCTTACTTGTTCTATTTAAGATTATCGTTGCGACATTGTTTGCAGAACTAAGCGCTTTGCGCTCACTCATTATAAAAGGAACACCTTTACACTGATTATGGATCACGATTGGCACTTCAGGAAATTAAATGATTTTTATAATCTTTATAATGGGTATCGATTTGTTATCACTTTATATTCCGTGGTACGTGCTTACGCTCTCGCACAATCAGACTCCCATATGTACGATATCATTTGAAAACTTAAGTGCACGTATAATATTGGTAATGCTATATCTAACGTGGAAAAATTTAAATTTAGTATACGAAATACCCAATTCCCATATACTACATATGTATGTATATACAACGATTTTTGTTATTTTTACAAACCTTATGCCGAATATGTCGATCAGTGTGTGAGTTAGGCTGACTTCGAAAACGTATAAGGACAAAGAATAATGTTCTGTAATGTATCCGAAATATCTTTGACATTGACAAAAATGTCACGAGAAAGTGACAAAAATAAAATGATAGCTTCTTTATGTGAAAATCATGCATTGACTTTATTAGGAGTTGAATCAAGTAAATATTTGAATAAATTTCTTCATTCAATATAAATATATACACTTTGGCAGGTGAGGAAGAAGACGAATCAGCATAAACTGCTGCTGAGCAACCGAAGAAGCATTCATTTCGGCTTACCAAAATGTTCCAGCTGGCAGCGAAATGTGCTAAGGAATCTTGACGAAAGCAGATTCAATCAGATTCCGGAGGAATGCGAACGTATCTTAGAATTATTAAAAATGACGCTGTTTTTAAAACAAGTTCAAGTGCTACACAACTTCCAATCGAATTGCAACTCAAAATAGTGCTGTATCGGTTGGGATCTTCCGGCGATGGACTATCTGTTCGCAAAGTGGCTTCCTTATTCGGTGTGGGTGATGAAGGTATTATTAAAAATGTAACACAACGAATCTTTAAAGCCATATTGCGATTAAAAACTTAGTAATTATACTGGTCCAATGAAAGAGAAAGGCTGGAGATTGCATCCGCAACTGCGAAAGAAATGCCAAAGTGTGTAGGTTACACCGCTGGTTCCGAAATAAAATTAGCCGAAGCTCCAGTTAGGCAGCAAGAAATTTACTATTCGCGTAAACGTCAATATTCTGTAAAAATATAAGTGATTTGCGACTATAAATTGCGCATTAGGCAGGTAACGGTTGGTTAAACAGGCAGTGAACATGATGCGAAAATATTTTCAAATTGTTCACTCGTAAAAAATCCGGAACGATTCTTAGCGACATCAAAGTAGGTCGCGGGAGATAGTGCCTATCCACTTAAACCATATTTAGTAACGCCTTTCCGACAAAACAGGGTTGAACATACAAAAGAAGAAAGGGATTAATTTAATTCGTATTTTTCCAAATACCGCGTACGAATTGAGAATTGTTTTTGGGTATTTTAAAAGAGAAGTTCGGTAGCTTGAAGGAGTTTAATTTAGAATGCTCTCAACGTCAAATAAAAAGGAATGCAACGACTGGATTATGGTGTGTTGTATTCTTCACAACATGTTAAAAATTTCGAAACAGATAATCGGAACAGCAATGCAGTTTCGATGCCTTAATTTCCTTTAACATCAGGAAATATTAGGAGAAATTACTTTCTTCATTATATACATACAAAATCAAAATGCTTAATACTTATACTCATAAGTATGTATTTGTACTTTGATGACAAGTTAATAAAAATGCGTGATCATTTTACTTCATTAAATCCAACTATATTTCTCATTCTAATTTTTATACTCTCGCAACCTGTTGCTACAGAGTATAATAGTTTTGTTCACCTAACGGTTGTTTGTATCACCTAAAACTAATCGAGTTAGATATAGGGTTATATATATATAAATTATCAGGATGAAGAGACGAGTTGAAATCCGGGTGACTGTCTGTCCGTCCGTCTGTCCGTCCGTGCAAGCTCTAACTTGAGTAAAAATTGATATATCTTTATGAAACTTGGTAGACATGTTTCTTGGTACCGTGATACGGTTGGTATTGCAGATGGGCGCAATCGGACCACTGCCACGCCCACAAAACGCCATTAATCAAAAACAAATAAATTGCCATAACTAAGCTTCTTAATAAGATACAAGACTGTTACTTGGTACACAAGATCACATTAGGGAGGGGCATCTGCAGTTTAAATTCTTTTTTTAAAGTGGGCGTGGTCCCGCCTCTAATAGTTTTAATGTGCATATCTCCTAAACCGCTAATGCTATAATAACAAAATTCACTGGAAGCAAATGTTTTTAGCACTTCTATTGACGGTGTGAAAATAGTTGAAATCGGGTAGCAACTCCGCCCACTCCCCATTTAACGGTACTATTAACAAGTAAGGAAGGGCTAAGTTCGGATGTAACCGAACATTTTATACTCTCGCAAAGTCAGATGGTATACTGGTTTGAGATTTCTTTGTGGATTGACTGATATTTTCGGTAGAAGGTCAACTATAGGCACTGGGGTCCACATATTTAGTACTTAGGGGTTTGAACAGTTTTGGTTCGATTTAGACAAGTTTTGGCCGCAAGGTGGCATACTTTAATTGCATTATTCACGCAAAGTTTTATCCCGATACAGTCATTGTTGCCTGATTTGCATAGTGGAAAGTGAAAGAATCAGATGGAATTGACAATGGTGTTACATGGGAAGTAAGCGTGGTTGTAGTCCGATTTCGACCATTTTCGCACTATGACATAGAAACATGAAAAGAACGTTATGCACCGAATTTGGTTGAAATCGGTTTGAGCAGATCTCAAGATATGGGTTTTCACCTAAAAGTGGGCTGTGCCACGCCCCCTGACTAATTTTGAACGCGGTTTCTATAAAGTCATCTTATACCATCTCAGAGATAAAATTTAATGTCTCTGGCGTGTTTAGTGCTTGATTTATCGCGATTTTAGTAGTTTTTAACAGTACCGTTATATGGGGAGTGGGCGGAGTTGCCACCTGATTTCAACTATTTTCACACCGTCAATAGAAGTGCTAAAAACATTTACTTCTAGTGAATTTTGTTATTATAGCATTAGCGGTTTAGGAGATATGCACATTAAACCTATTAGAGGCGGGACCACGCCCACTTTTTAAAAAAAATTGTAACTGCAGATGTCCCTCCCTAATGTGATCCTGTGTACCAAATAACAGTCTTGTATCTAATTGCGGAGCTTAGTTATGGCAAGTTATTTGTTTTTGATTAATGGCGTTTTGTGGGCGTGGCAGTGGTGCGATTACGCCCATCTGCAATACCAACCGTCTCACGGTACCAAGAAACATGTCTACCAAGTTTCATAAAGATATCTCAATTTTTACTCAAGTTAGAGCTTGCACGGACGGACGGACAGACAGTCACCCGGATTTCAACTCGTCTCTTCATCCTGATCATTTATATATATATAACCCTATATCTAACTCGATTAGTTTTAGGTGATACAAACAACCGTTAGGTGAACAAAACTATTATACTCTGTAGCAACAGGTTGCGAGAGTATAAAAACTACTAAAAGCGCGATAAATCAAGCACTAAACACGCCAGAGATATTAAATTCTATCTCTGGGATGGTATGAGATGGCTTTATAGGAACCGCGTTCAAAATTAGACAGTGGGCGTGGCACAGCCCACTTTTAGGTGAAAACCCATATCCTGAGATCTGCTTTACGAATTTCAACAAAATTCGGTACATAACGTTATTTTCATATTTCTATATTATAGTGCGAAAATGGGCGAAATCGGACTACAACTACCCCTATTTCCCATATGACACCATTTTCAATTCCATCTGAATCTTTCACTTTCCACTATGCATAACAAGCAACAATGATTATATCAGGGTAAAACTTTGCGTAAATATTACGTTTAAAGTATGCCACCTTGTGACCAAAAATTGTCTAAATCGAACCAAAACTGTTCAAGCCCCTAAGTACTAAATATATGGTCCCCAGTGCCTATAGTTGACCTTCTACCGAAAATATCAGTCAATCCACAGAGAAATCTCAAATGAGTATACCATTTGACTTTGCGAGAGTATAAAATGTTCGGTTACATCCGAACTTAGCTCTTCCTTACTTGTTTTATTTTGCGTTAGGTACATGCATTGCAACATGGTTTTCATCGTATTTTCATATTATATTACTTCAAAAGGTACTAAGAACTATTAAGATCGCAAAAAAATTTATAATAGCATTAAAACTTCATTTAAAACACAAAAAAGCACAAAAAAATAACTTCATAACAAATGTGAACTAAAAATGTATTAATAATAATATTACTTATATTTAAGTCTAAGTTCCTCCATTGCCAACCTCTCCTGCATTTGCAATTTAATTTTTTCTATTTCTATTTTATCGTCAATTTTTTTTAGCTCTATTTCTTTTTCTTTTAGCTCTTGTTCTTTTTCTTTACTTGACGTTTCCCTTTCCCTTGCTGCCACATCCATCTCTAACTTTTGCTTCCTTATCTTCGCAATCTCGCCATGAACATCTAAAATATCCGACAAGGCAGTTTTGGAATAAATTCCCTTCTGCCCTCGACTTTGTGTTTGTGCCACATCTTCAACATTCAAATTTTATTATAAGAATTTACTTTCTATTGTGTCGCCTTCCATGTTTCCTGCAACTGTCGACCCTTCCCACGCCTTTGCTTTATTATAATTAGTGCGCATGTTGCAAACTTTTGCGCGCACTATTTTCCATCCTGCCACCACTTGCCTTTCTTGGATAAACCGACCATAGAAGTTTTGAGCCGTTGGTTCCTTTTTAATAAAAATTATTTGATGTTGTTGTTTGTTTAAAAATAGAAATAACAAACCTCGAAACTTCTAATTTCCATTAGGAACTCCACAAGCGCTTTTTCTTCTATCGAGTTTTGGTTTACACTGCAATAAAATAATTTGCAACCACATAAACAACAAAATATTTTTATATTTCACTTTTATTCAACTTAATTTACCTAAATATCGCAACGATTCCTTCCTTCCATATTATTACCGAAATTGATTAAATTTATTTTTAACTTAAACTTTAAAATGTAAACAGATACAGCTGATAGAATAGCATACTCGAAAAACATACCTCGCAGTGTTGTATTTGTTGTATTTTAATTTTGCATGGGAAACAACAACAGTGTTGATATGACAGTCATAAAAATAAGACAATATGACGATATGACACAATATGACACCTTGGGAATACACTAATTGACTCTTTCACATGAAAGCAAAAAAAACGCGAGCTTCGGTCAATGGTTGACAGTGTACATATCTACATATGTACATATGTATGTATGTGATTTTTAGACAAATTTACAATCATTTTTCTTTCATATATCTTTAAATGTACACATGATATGAAAATGCCGACGGCGAAACACAATTCTGTACTTTTGTGACTCCATAATGGTGTCCATAAAATATTTTAAGAAATATATCAAAATATTTTTAAATTATTACTAATAACTCGCAATAAAGTAAAAATTAATTAACATAAAATAATTTAAAAAATAATAAATAATAGTTCAATAAAAGGGAATATATTTCAAATGGCATATAAATATTCCCAGTTTGGCATACATATAATATTATATTCTCTTCAATATTCACCTTTGGTAATGTTAAGAGAGCTATACGTGTACAGATTCGCCGCTGTTATAAAGCGAGAAATGTTATTTGTTTCCCCTACGTGTGAGATGAACTTCCCGTTAAAATTTTACAAATGTTCGCTGTCGAACCTGCACCTTCTCGTTCTTCTAAGTTCTCTAGTCATACTGCATAGATACTTTGCAGTAGCACGTTTTCGAAATCAGCCTTTTTTATTATATTTATAGACTTGCTTGAAAATATGTTTACAAATATACCTTAACAATGCACAAGATTAAGGCAACGAGCTTAGACCTTTCTCTGCCCCCAATATACCCTGTATAGTGATTTCCAACTTTCCAGCCGGCTATAAACCGTTTAGGTTGATTAAAATGTGTGATACTTTAATGAAATCAAGTGGAAAATTTTCTTAAAAATTACAAAATATTGTAATATTAATGACTTAGCGCTAAATATTATTTGTAAGGATTTTGTGTAAACCTTGTATAAACTTCATATCCCTAATACAATGAATTCCCATCCTCTGGCTGACGTTTTCCACATCACGTCAATATATTAAATTGAGCCTCTTCGGTTGTGTTTATATCATATATACATATATCCTATCTGAAGATGATTTGAATATAATTTTAGCTGCTGTGAATAAAACTAACTGAGTCTTTGACCTATAACATAATTTAATAATATACGAAGTTTTATTGTAATCCATTTAAGATTTCATCAAATAATAAATGTTAAATTCCTTCGCAATTTTTTTTTATTCTTGCAACATGTTGCTACAGAGTATAATAGTTTCGTTAACCTAACGGTTGTTTGTATTAGCTAAAACTAATCGAGATAGATATGGAGTTATATATGTATATACATATAAATGATCAGGATAACGTGACAAGTTGAATGTCTGTCCGTCTATCTCTGCAAGCTGTAACTTGAGTAAAAATTGTGACATCGTAATGAAACTTGGTACACGTGTTCCTCGGCAAAAATGTGAGGACGAGTTAGTAGATGGGTGTAATCGCACCACTGCCAACTAAACGTTACTAATCGAAAATTTATAAAAAGCCATAACTAAACAGTAAATTAAGATATCAAAGTGTAGTTTGGTACACCCAATCGCAATAATGAGGACACTATGGTTTAAAAATGTTTAAAAGTGGGCGTGGCTCGCCCCTAATAGGTTTAAGATATATATCTTCAAAACCAATAAAGCTTTATGGCCAAAATTTGTGCAATTATACCATTTCGACACGACAGACTACTAAAACTGCTACTAAATCAATGAAGAAATGCGTCAGAGACATTAAATTTGACATCCGAGATGATAAAAAAGGGCTTTATAGGAGGAAGTGTCAAACTTGGACAACGGGCGTGCCACCGCCCACATTTAGCTGAAATCACATAACTCGGGACCTAGTCCACCAATTTCAACCAAATTTCGTACATGAGATTATTTTGACATTACCATGTTACTTCCCATATAACACCACTTTAAGTTCCACTGATTTCTTTACTTTCCAGTATACAAATCAAGCACTTATTAATATATCGGGATAAAAATGCACGAATAGTGCCTCTGAAGTGTGCTATCTCAGGTCTAAAAATTGTCAAAATTGAACCACAAATATATCAAGCCCCCAGACCCCGTATATTTGGATCACAGAGCCCATGTCTGACTTTTGCGAAAATATCGGCCATCGGTGATATATATTATTGAAATTAAGGGAATACTTCCCATATAATACAACTTTAAGTTCCACTGATTTCTTCACTTTCCAGTATACAAATTGTTGGGTCACAGATTGAGAATTGCATTATACGGTCATATGTTCTTATACATTTTTTGCTATTTCTTGTTCTCAATTTATTTGCCCAAAATATTCAAGGGCAAGCATTAGAAGTCATTCACCTCAATGCAGTTATTAATTGTATTTGCAATGTGTACATACTTATTTGCTCGCTTGCGCTTGTGCTGTACATTTATGCTACCGCTATTTTTTCGTCCACGCAATTACATGAATATTTGTTAGTGCACATTAGCTAGTCTCATTTAACATGTACTAAGCTTAATATGTAAGCAGCCTCTTGTAATGCTGCGTTCCCATTTTTATACTCCCGCAACCTGTTGCTACAGAGTATAATAGTTTTGTTCACCTAACGGTTGTTTGTATCACCTAAAACTAATCGAGTTAGATATAGGGTTATGTATATATAAATTATCAGGATGAAGAGACGAATGGAAATCCGGGTGACTGCCTGTCCGTCCGTCCATCCGTCTGTGCAAGCTCTAACTTGAGTCAAAATTGAGATATCTTTATGAAACTTGGTAGACATGATTCTTGGTACCGTGAGACGGTTGGCAGATGGGCGTAATCGGACCACTGCCACGCCCACAAAACGCCTTTAATCAAAAACAAATAAATTGCCATAACTAAGCTCCGCAATAAGATACAAGACTGTTACTTGGCACAGAGGATCACATTAGGGAGGGGCATCTGCAGTTACAATTTTTTTTTTAAAGTGGGCGTGGTCCCGCCCCTAATAAGTTTAATGTGCATATCTCCTAAACCGCTTATGCTATAATAACAAAATTCACTGGAAGCAAATGCTTTTAGAACCTCTACCAACAGTGTGAACATAGTTGAAATACATAAACCCAAATTTTTAAAAAATATAATATCAGTGCAAAGTGAAAACAAATATATATAATAAAATAAATCTTGTGCTTAACAGGTGAATAAAATCATCGCTGTATTAGCGGTCTAATAAGCGAATGTAATGGTATGTTGTGTTGTCCTATGTGGTGTCATCTGGTGTGGGGTGAAATTCCTTGAGTGTTCACAGGTGTGGTGCACTTGGAGGAGGGAGTTTAAACTCGTTTAAACATCCTGGGCCCCCTAGGCTAATATTTTGCCTAGTATTAAACATATGGGCTGTATTATGCATTTCGGCGTGCTGTTAATGAAGTAGCCGAGGGCGAGAATATTAGCTGTAAGAAGCAATTTTGGTTTTAATCGATTTGTTTGTTTGTATTTACGATTTTTTCTTTTATCAATTTTTTATGCGGATTGTTTATGATTTGCCTTTTCTGTATTATCAGCAATTATTTACAATCTCTTTATTATCGGCTTATGAGGATAGCGACTCCCCGCCTGGCTCAGATATGGCCAGAATGGGTGCTCCTTTCAAACTTTTGAAGAGGGATCTTGCGAGAGTAAGATTTGAGATTTTCGCTCACTTTTTTGAAGTGAGATTTACAACTTTTACAAGTGTTTCCCATAAACTACCCGTATGATGAGCGCTTAGATAGATGCGATAAGTGCGACCTTTGCTTTTTGTAAGTCTGGGTGCGTCACTGTATCACATTGCAAGTATGGTGATTCCTTAACTTTAATTTTGAATTGTATTTGATTATGAAAATTTAGGCAACTATGAGGCACTATAGTAAGAGAACTGTCGATTTTTGGACATTTTATGACAATTACTCGTATGTTGCGGACGATATTATATATGGAAGTGGGCGATTGTGGACAAGAATCGGTAGATTCGGATATCGTTAAGATTGTTTGAGGATTGTGACCATTTTTATAAGTAAAGAAGAATTAGGATTTTCGCTTGTATCATAATTGGCGAAAGCCATCCTGCGGGGTCAAAAATGTTATTGCGGATAATGCGGATATTGATTCAGTAGGATATGAAAGCTGATCAGATATCGCATTCCATTGGATCCCCTGTATTTTTATGTTGTACTGCCCTTTTCAAATTTAAGGAAATTAGTGTACAACAAATTTTCTTTTCGAATACTTAGTAATATATCTCGATGATTTGGTTGAATTATAGATATTTGTGTTTTTAACACTGGGGTTGTCAGAAGAAACTCTGACATGGTTCTTTGTGCCAATTTGTGTAGTGTTGGAAGATTGTGGCTTTGGTGGTAGTCGTACGACGTACCGGCCATTATTTGATCGAGTAGTTGTGGCTTTGTGGAAGTCTTCACAATACTGATCTTCTGGGGTTGTAATTGATATGAGGTGGCATTTTTCTAACTCACGAAACTTCCTTAATTGGGAATTAAGGTATTCTTTTGAATTTTCGTCAACTTGAGTTGTTGATGTGGAAACTGGTTCAGTAACTAGTCCACTTAGAATCCAACCGAATATAGTATTTTGGGCTAGAAGGGTCGTTGAAATTTTTTCAACACCTTCAAGCATTATTTGCGGTATAAGGTCGCTGCCTATTAGAATATCTATGTTAGCGGGGGTGTTGCAGTTGGGATCTGCTAGCTTTAGGTGTGAAAACTTTTGCCAATGCTTGCTATTTATGTGATAGCTTGGAAGCATGTTAGTAAGTTGCGGTAGAACTATAGCTTCTGCTACAATTCGCTTATCCGCTTGGGGGGAAATTAAGGTAATGGGGCAGATTTTATTTGAGTTTTGGACTACTCTTCCGCCCATTCCCGTAATTTCAAAATTCGATTGTTTTGATGGCAGTTTTAGCCTATTT